ATTCTGTTATCTATATACTCTTGAAGTTATTACATCTGTCACATCTGTATGGCAGAAATAACTTCATAATGGAGTGCCACCGCATTTCTTCCCAATTCTGTGCGAGTGACGCTTTGTTTCAACTTGTAATTGACCGTGGTGGGAAGAGCTTACGCCACAGAAACTGGCAGATGCTATAAACCAGGGCTGTTCTTTCTTCATGTGACTCAGTCTCACTCCCAGAAGACATGCAGGAAAAGAGAGCCAACCCTTGAAAGACTTTGCTGGAGACCTAAATCTGGCTGACTGGGGCTGGGGAGTGGGGTTGTCGGGGGAAGGCTTAGAAACCAAAGGAAATTCATGAGGTCAGCCCAGGGTATCCTGCATTCGCTTATTTTGGGGCCCAGGGGTGTACAGTGGCCAGTGCAGAAGCCAGTAACCACGTGTGACTGTTAAGGACCTGAAACGGAGAATTTATCACTTTACTTACTTCTCATTAACTTATGGTTAAAAACTGATACTTGATTCTATTATTGAGAAACATTTAAGAAAGCTGGAACAACCCAGGGATGTGAATCAACTTTTTCAATTGTAAATTTTATGACATCTAAATACAGACCAAGGATTTCTGATGAAAATTTAGCTCCTGAATTGAGATGTGCTGTAAGTGTGCAATGCTTACTGGATCTGAAGGCTGAGAATGAAAAAAAAGACACAAGTAAAATATCTCATTAATAATTTTCATATTGATTACATGTCTGAAATGATATGCTTTCTATACTAGGTTAAATAAATTATATTATTTAAATTAATTTCATCAGTTTCTTTGCTTTAATGTGGCGATTAGAACATTTTAAAATTATATATGTGGGTCACATTATATTTCTATTAGACAGCACTGGGGTGAAATACTTTGGGTAATCCCTCCCCCCCGTTTGCATCATTTTGATATTTAAAGCAGAAGCGATCATAAGAAAACCACTAAAAGGATTTTTTTGAAGATTACAAATGCTAGAAGAAAATGAGCTGTTTTATCAGATTGCAGATGGGGTAGGTTTGGTGAATGACCTCCACCCAGTCCGGGCAAAGTCCATCCCTGGATGCCGTGGCTGGGGAAGGGGCCCAGGACACTAGGGCAACAGATAATTTCTCATCCCAAAGCCCAGCCCCTGAGAGCTGACCCCAGGACCAGGGCTGGTTTTGTCAAAGACACCCACACAGAGAAGCTGGCTCCTGGAGCTGCACAGAAAGCCTGGACCTGGCCACGAGATGGGTCCAAGAACCATCACACAGAAGGAAACACCAAAAAGTTGGTGCACATTTCAACCCTCTCTTTGCACACTTCTGTACATGCTGCCCCTCTACTCAGACTACCCTTCCTTCTCTTGGCTCTTAGAGAACTCCTATCCATCCTTCAAGATCCCGTTCAAATGTTCCTTCCTCTGAAGACTTTCCTAACCAAATGATGTTCCCATCTCATGCTCTGGACTTCTGACCTAGTCTATTCTTACCACTTCCTGGCTGGCCTCAGTGCTTTTACTCTTGCCCCTCAAACCTGATTTTTTTTTCTAAAACACAGAATTCGTGCCTCTCCCCTGTGAGATTGGCACTGGGTCCCTAATGCCTAATGCAGTAGTTCTCAAACTTCAGCAAGCATCAGAGTCACCTAGAAGGCTCTTTAAGACAGGTTGCTGGGCCTCATCCCAGAGTTTCTGATTCAGTAGATCTAGGCTGGGACCTAATATTTTGCATTTCTAACAAGGTCCCAGGTGCTACTACTGCGACTCTGAGAGGCTGTACTTCGAGAACCACTGATGTAAACGATCAAGTGCAAACTCTTCACCGTGGCATTCAAGGCCCTCTGCAACATGGCCTCCAATTCCTTTCCCATCTTTATCTTTCCCTATGTGCTGGCCCAAGCCTAGTCCACCCATGACCCCAACATACCATCCCCTTCCCACCTCCACACCATGCTCATCCTTCTGCTTGAAATCGTCCCAGTTTCAGGGCCACCTTCCTTGATCTCACAATGTCTAAGACCCAAATCTTCAAAAACCAGGAGAGGGCACCTTTAAGGGTTTACAAAGTAACAAATTTAGGCTCAGCAGCAGCGACAAAAGAGGAGGGTGAGAATGGATTCTGGCCACAGCAGCAGCCCTGGATAGGAAAGTACCAGCCTAAAGTGACAACTTTGGGACAGAACATTCTGGTGTATCTATTTAAACAGCCTCATACCGGTCACAGCCCAGTTACGAATTGCCCCTGTTCTCCATCCCGTTTTCTAGCTCTGCCACTTCCCAGCAGCGTTGCCTGGGGTTGAGTGTGGGGAGGGGGACTCACTTAGCATCTTTGTTTCTCATTTCATCTGTCAGATGGGATAAAGCAACAAATCTCCAAGAATGAAGATTAAAAGATACAATGTAAGTAAAATGCACAGCCAAAGGTCTAGCACACAGTAAGCCATCAATAAATGCTAGCGATTGTTGGTATTATCTTTGGACTTGGGAAAGTAATGAACTTGGTAACCAGCCACCAACAAGAATGGGAACAGACACATAGATGTTTTTCTTAATGGGTACATCATTAGCAGTCCAATGAAGGTTGTCTGAACGGACAGCAGGTTGCATGGATGGGTGGGAGGGTTGTTAGATGGGAAAACATCTTTCTATAATATCAGAAGTAGCTCTGTGCAGCTAGTTTGGCAATAGACACGAAAAAATCTTAAAAATTCTCCTAGAGATTCTCAGGCAAGAACACAAAAATTCAAAGATGTCCATCACAGAGTTGTTTATACAATTTCTTTTTAATTTTAAAAAAGCAACAGCCGCATGCAGTACACCAGACATTAACATAACATTGTAAGTCGACTATACTTCAATAAAAAACAAACTAACTAACTAACCTAAATGCCCAATAGTCAGAAGATGGAATTCTGGAGAAAAAGAGAAAAATGAAGATGCGGGTATTTCCCTAAGATGTAGAAGTTGTTCTTAATATATCTTAAATAAAAAAAGTAAAGGGCAAAGTAACAAGTCTGGTGTAAGTTCATCTTTTTAAAAAAAACTATGAGTATATGTAGCTATAGAAAAAGTCTAGAAAAATATATTCCAAATGTTATCAGTGGTTATCTCTGGTGTAAAGATTTGGATAATATTAGTCCTTTTTTTTTTTTTTTTTGCCTTTTGCTTTTCTGTACACTCTCGTTTTCCTCTGATAATCATATACAAAAAATTTGTTTAATTTCTTAAAAGAAAAAACTTTTTAAAAAGCACCTCGAAGAATCAGGACAGAGGCAACATGTCGGCTCTGCTTCCTGGGCCTCCGCTGTGTGACCATGAGCAAGAGGCCTGCCCTCTCTGTGCCTCTGTCCCCTCCCCTTTGGGAAAGGGAAACTAGTCTCCCTGCCCGGCTCACCTCCCAAGGTGGCTGAAGGCAGTAGATGAGAAAGGGCTTTGAAATCCACAGCCAACAGTCTGTGGTGGTGGTTTTACTGCCCTCAAGGACATCCAGGAGACGCCCCAGGGAGATGCTCAGAGAAGCAAAAGAAAGCTGGCAGTCTCCACTGGGAGGCAACCAGTTTCAGTGGATAGAGCTCTGGGTGGGGCTGGGGGAACCGACTTCATACCCCCTCGGACACTGGCCTCTCTTCATTCCTACGAAATGAGAGGGATGAATTTCAACAGTGGTTTTTAAACCACTGCGGTTTTCTTAAATAGCAGGATCCTTTTCTCAAAGGAAACACAGATTTCCCCATTAAGCATCAGCAGTTCTGTTTCTAAATATCAGGAATTCTGTGCAAAAAGAATCAACCTGGAGTCTAGTTTCCATTAATTTTAAATGGGAAAAATTATAAAAAATGACATGCCAACTCCAAACTCCCCACTAATTTCCTAAAATGTAACTAACACATAGCATCACTCTCCCTATACATAATAAACTATCATGATAGGAGCTACAATGCTTAAAACAACCACTCCTGACCACCAAGTCATTATTAACAAGCGGTAACAGCCGTTCCCATGGTAACACGAGCCTCGGCCACTCTCTCAGATCCGGCATGGTCCGAGATGCGCAGTCCCTGCAGACCCTCACTCCCTTTGCAAACCATCTACCTGTGATTCTGACAGTCTTCCAACTGCATCCAAAATTCACGAGACTTTTCCTGCACATGATTTTTTTTTACAAATGTTATGCTGAGTTTTAGACATAAATAGGATGTTTTACGTGCACAACTTTAGCTGGAAAAAAAAAAGAGTTTGGAGACTTGGACCTTCTAGGAAGCATGGGTTTTATAAACTGAGAGGCATTAATAGTAGAACGTCAATGGGGGAGTTATTCTGCAGGGCAGGCTTGTCCTCTGTAAACCAGGGGCACGCTGGGACTCCTCTGGAGTTGAGGAAGGATGCTGAGTTTGGGAGATGGGGCTTGAAGCTGCATCTGCACTGTGCACATCAAAATATGAGGCTGCTGTCAGAGAGCAGGGGTCACTAAAGGGCCCCCTTTAGTGCTGCTATTGAAAGGCATCCCCATGCAGTGGCAGTAACGGTGCTGGTATCACACAAATAATGAAATTGCCCACATTCACCGAGCTCTGACACGCACCAGCATCTCTCCCAAGCATCTGACATGAATTAATTCATTTAATCCCCATAACAACTCTAGGAGCTAGGTACTATTATTATCAGCATCTTACAGATGGGGAAACTGAGGCACAGAGCAGTTAAGAACTTGCCTAGGGTTACCCAACTTGTAAGTGGCAGAGCTGGAATTCGAGGCCAGGCAGTAGAACCTCAGAGTTCCTTCCCACTCCAAACCACTACCCCTTGCCCCCAAAGTGCGGAGGCTGCACAGAAAAGGGAGGGCAGGGGACCCAGGTCCCCCAGCGTCACCTTGTCCTTGCCCCAGCCCTTGCCCTCAAAACGTGTGCTGAGATCTTAAGAGCGCAGGACCTCGGAACCAGGCAGGCTCCAGGCCACCAGGAGTGGGGGCCGAGAGGGGCGGGCGGCAGGCGGTCCCCTTACCCACAGCTTCCCGTCATAGTAGTAGGCTCCCAGGAGCTTCACAATGTAGGGGTGGTCGCAGGTGGCCAGGATCTCGATCTCCACGATGTAGTCCTCTAGCTCCTCCTCACTCTTGGTCTCAATCACTTTGGCGGCGGCCAAGTCACCCGTCTCCTTGTTCTTGGCCTGCAAAGTGGAGACACAGGTCAGAGGGCATGACAGGTGAGAAGCTGAGCCCTGGAAGCCAGCTCAGGGAGGCCCCCATGAGTGTGGAAACACAGGCCAGATGTCCAGGTGGGGACTGAGAGGCTGACGCAGGAGGTACACTGTTCTCAACAACAGCCTGTGCCCACTCATCATGTCAGCACAGGGGGATTGAGAAACAATGCTCAGTGGTTAACAAATACAAATTTCTTTTTTAATTGAAGTACAGTCAGTTACAATATGTGAATTTCTGATGTACAGCATAATGCCCCGGTCAAGCATATGTATACATATGTTTGTTTTCATACTCTTTTTCATTAAATGTTTTAACCAGATATTGAATAGTTTCCTGTGCTGTACAGAAGAAATCTGTTTTTTTATCTATTTTTACATATAATGGTTAACATTTGCAAATTTCAAACTCCCAGATTTATCCCTTCCCACCCCCTTTCCCCCAGTAACCATAAGATTATTTACCATGTCTGTGAGTCTGTTTCTGTTTTATAGATCATATACAATAGCCAAGAAATGGAAATAACCTAAATGCCCATGACTGGATAAAGAAGTCGTGGTACATTTATACAATAGAATACCACTCAGCCATAAAAAAGAATAAAATAATGCCATTTGCAGTAACATGGGTGGACCTGGAGATCATCATTCTGAGTGAAGCCAGAAAGAGAAAGAAAAATACCATACGTTACCACGCATATGTGGAATCTAAAAGAAAAAAAAGAATAAATTTTTTTAAAGTACAACACACTCATACTATGGGATAAATAAAAATACAAGAACAGCATAGATCTACAAACACCAAGAAGGAAAGATTTATTGAGTTGTGCCCAAAGCCCTGAACATTAAAAGCACTGAACATTAAAAGTGGTACAATGCTTTCTATATAAAAAAAAAATGGAAAACTACTCTTTCATAAACGCTCACATGTGAATGGAAATGCATGGAAAACTCCGGAAAGATACTGCCTGACAGCAGGCTGGAATGCGGAAAGATTCAAAGGGTACGTTTCCTCTCTCCGTATTGTTTTAAACGTTAATAGAATGTTTCATGCATTTATTTGCATTATTTCACATACGTTAAAAGTAAAATGAAAAGGGTTTTCCGTGCCCACCAATTACAGTGGAAATGGTTCCTAGATGCATTTCACCTGGTCACAATAACGGTTTCTTATCTGATGAAAAAGAGAAAGAATTTCACACTGACAAGGATAGCTTAACTTTTTAAAAACGGAAAATAAGTGTTGGTGAGGATGTGGAAAAATTGGTACCTTTGTGCATTGCTGGTGGGCGTGTAAAATGCTGCAGCCACTGTGGAAAACAGTTCGGCAGTTTCTCAAAAGGTTAAACATAGAACTACCATATGGCCAGCAGTCCTACTCCTGGGCATATTTGCTCAAGAGCTGAAAGCAAAGGTTCGGACAGGTATCCACATATCAGTGTTCACAAAAGCGCTATTCACAAGAGCTAAAATGTGAAAATAACCCATGTGTCCGTCAACAGATGAATGAATAAACAAAAATGGGTACACTCGGCCCTCCCGTATCTTTGAGTGCCATATACTCAGATTCAACCAACTGTGGAATGAAAACACTCAAGGGAAAAAAAAAATCAGAAAGTTCCAAAAAGCAAAGCTTGAATTTGCCACATGCCTGGCAACGATTTACATAGCGTCTAACACTGTCTTTACAACTATTATGACAGCATTTACATTGACTGAGGTACCATAAGTAATCTAGAGATGACTTAAAGTATACAGGAGGATGTGCATGGCTTATATGCAAATACCATGCCATTTTATTTTATAAGGGACTTGAAGGGGGAGGGTATAGCTCAGTGGTCGAGCGCGCGCCTAGCACACACGAAGTCCTGGGTTCAATCCCCAGTACTTCCATTAAAAAAAATAAATTAAATAAAAACCTAATCACCTCCCCCCACTATAAAAAATTGATTAAAAATAATTTTTACTATATAAGGGACTATAAATTTTGGTATTGGTGGGGGATCCTAGAACCAATCATCCTCAAATACCAAGGGGCAACTGTATACATATTCAATGGAATATTATTCAGCCTTAAAAAGGAAGAAAATTCTGACACATGCTACTACAGCATGGATGAACTTTGAGGACATTATGCTAAGTGAAATAAACCACAAAAAGACAAATATTGTCTACTTCCACTTCAGTGAGGTACCTAGAGCAGCCAAATTCACAGAAAGTAAAAGAAAGGCCACCAGGGGCTGGCCACCAGTGGGAATGCGGAGTAAGCGTTTAATGGACAGAGAGTTTCTGTCTGGAATGATGAAAAAGTTCTGGAAATGAATACTGGGGAAGCTTGTACAATGTCGTAAATGTACTGAATTGTGCACTTAGAAATGACTGAAACGGTCGATTTTATGTTACACATATTTTATCTCAATTTTTAAAACTGAGAGCAAGAGAGAAATGACCGTGTAAGCGGTATAATCATGAACTGGCTGGCATCCAGGGAAAGGGTTCAGAGCCCACCGTTGTGTTCCCTTAGATGGTCCCCTGAGCCCCAGGGGCTCTGCTGGGAGCACCCATCTACCATGCTGCTCGGGGCCCCAGTGCTGAAAGAGCCCATTTTCCTACAACACGGGCCCTGCAAGCCAGCCGCTTGCCTGGAGCCTGGAAACGGCAGGCTGCTGGAAAGCAAGGGAAAACAGGTCGCCCTAGACTCCACCGCAGTGCCTTCCTGAGGACAGTGCCACTCACTGCTCATCTAACCGGACAGCTCTGCTACCTGACCCCACACGCCTAGCATCCCACGGATGCTCCAGGGCATCCACGTCACTTCACATGACACCCCATTCTGTGGACTTAGAGAGGGGACGTGGCTGGAACTAGGGTAGCAGCACCAGAATTTGAATCTGGGTCCTCTAATCTCCAAGACTCTGTGAACTTTCCGCTACTGTCCAAGGTCCCCCATCATCTCCAGGACTCAGAAGCCTCTGGGACCAGATGCCAACAGACAAGAGTGCTCCCAGGCCAGCCCTGAACAGGACGCCTGAGATGTAGACACAGTGACCCTCCCCCTGGCCTCAAGGGGCTCCGGGTCAGCTGGAGAGACCACGCCCCCACCCCCAGTCTACGGCCATTGGTGAGACAGTGCTCTTATGGGGCTGGGGGTAGGAACCAGGAGGGGGCACCAAGCCCCACCCAGGGACCTTTTGGAAGGGAGTGATGCCAGCAGCCAATTTTTATGCTCATTTGTAAATTTATTCTCAGCTTAGATAAATGTTCCTGTTAAGTGAGCTGTAAGGTCCCCAGGTCCCACATGATCACAATAATGACTTCACATTTATCAAGGGCACACTCTGCATGGGACACTGGGCCCCACTTCCACATCTGCTAACCCATTTATCTCCTCGACCGCCCGACCATTGGTGTGATTATCTCACAGAGAGATGAGGAGACTGAGGCAAGGTCCCAGGCACCTGGGTGACAGCTGACCTGGAATGCTGTCAGACCTGCCCCGGCGTCCGCATTCTTGGTGGCCACATCGATAGTCTATGAAACCTTCCGCATCAGGACCAGGAGCCAAGCTGAGGGGAGCGAATTCCATGTGGGGCCATTCCCGGAGGTCAATTCCTGTCCTAGAATTCACCCTGCTCACTCGGCCCTACCTGGGTGGGGTCCTCTCCCGTGAACTCTGTTTTGAAAGCTTGTTCAGAATGCCTTAGAAACTCAGGGATTAAGCAATCAGGCTCTTTCTCAAGTGCCCTCTCTCTCTCACACTCACACTCACATACACACACACACACACACACACACACACACACACTTAACTGATGACACACTTGCCCTTTCAGTTCTTGTAAGGCTGATTTTCTAGGGGTCCCACTAGAGGACCACCAAAGCATCCTTTCACACTGTACAGCACTCTTGCTCCTCCTCTTCTCCAAACAGAGAAGTAAGGTCCGCTCTGCTCCTTTACAGAGAAGACAGTGGAGGGCTTAGCGGGCGGCCAGAGCTCAGCCCCGGTGACCAAGGCAACCACCTTGACCACGCCCTCCCAGCCCCCAGCAGCACAGGGAGAGCTGAGCTGGACAAAGGCCACCCTTCACTTATTCCCCCTTCACTCATGAGAGCTGGTGAAGGAGGCTGCATGCCCCCTTTCCCTGGGCTTCCTGAAAAGGGCTGTTTTCTCCTGAAGGTACAGGGAGACCAGGCGGGGACCGTTTTCTGGGAGTGCACAAAACCTGTCTTGCTCTGCACCCTGAAAAGCAGCCCTGACCCCAGGGCCGGGCCTCCAGCCAGGTGCCAACATCACTGAGGAGCACCCGCTGCCCAGCGCCTCGCTCAGATTTCACCCAGAGCCTGCCAGAAAGGGGCTGGTAGCAACCGTGGTGCACAAAGTGACTTGGCCAAATTCAACTGTCTAAAAGACTGGCTGAGGCAGCAGTCCATCACCTTGAGGCCACAGAGAACGAAATAATGGCTGATAATAAAAATAGCTAGTTCGGTCTGAGCACGCACTGTGAGCCAGGACAGGTCTTAAATGGAATTTCTCACTTCATCCTCAATTCAGCCCTTGGAGATAAGTATCACCCAACATCCCCAATTTACAGATGAGGCAACTGAGACTCCGAGAGGCCTAACGATTGTCTCAGGTCGCAAGCAAGTGGGAGGGTGAAGGCTGAATCCAAACTCAAGCCTGCCTGGCTCAAAAAGAGCGTGAGCTCCAAATCACTTCCCAACACATATTTCTTGGCAAGTGCCTGGCATTCCTGCCCCATCTTCCTTTGCTAAAGATAAACGACAACCACAGCCAATAGCAACTACTGACTGTCAGAGTGCCTGGCAGCTGCGGAGGACTGGCACTGCCAGGATTTAATCTGCCCATGAGTCATTAAGATAAGGTGACGGCTATCATGCCCATTTCCCAGATGAACCAACTGAGGCTCAAAAAGCTATCGAGACCCACCCAGGATTGTGAGATGTGTTCT